ACAACTTCCCTCAAATATATTATATATTAATCTACAAAGAAGTTTATCTAAAAGATTACAATCTTTCTCTAAAAAACAGGATTACAATCTAATTTCTTATATTTTATATGCTCCTCCAAAGCATACTTGCAATAGCCACAAAGTGCTCGTTTGAGACTACCTTTTTAGGGAGCACTTCTGCTCATAAGCGTTTCTAATAAAATGCTTTTATTATAAAAATGTTGAAATTTTCTTAAGAAATTTCATAAGGCTGTTAATTCTTATGTCAATTTTTCCAATTTATATCAGGTTTATCTTTCTTTCTATGACTGGTGATGTTAGACTCGTCGAACAGGTAGCAGCAGGGAAGTACTCAACTCAAGCAGTGCTTGTAACTACTGCCCTATCATTTTCCGAAGTATGACTTCACGACCAATAATTTTGGGCCATGCGAAATTTTTATTTTTATTTTTACAAGAGATATATTATAAGCTTTTTTTCTCTTGAAACAAAAATGTAAATAAAATATTATAAATTAAACAAGGCCCACATTATGAGCAAATATAACACAAAGAAGTACAAAATATAAATAAAAACCAAATCAAACACATTGTTCAACTACTTGAGATCCGAGTTGAGTGAGTTCATCAGGAATTGAAATATCAACATTATATGCAGAAGATGTATCCTTGTTATTGTTACCTAAATGAAAATTTTAAGTTTCAATACACATAAGATAAACAACTAAAACAAAGTTAATAATTAAAGTATTGTCCCGTACAATTTTTTTTTAAAATATTGTTATATATGTCTTTTATAGAAGGAAAAAAAACTCGCTATGTTAAGCAAAGCTGCATATGGGAAATTGAAGTCTGGAAAATAAAAGCATTCTCGCGCTAGATCACGTGGAGTGCAAGAGGGGTAATGAAAAAGTTTGTATAGTGTGTTTTATAAAAGTGATGCATGCATGCACTTTGTTCATACGTGTATGTGAAATGAGATATTTGCTAACCGTCTTTTATGTTATAATTGTAATGACGACAAACTTTATTAAATATCAAAACGATGTCTTTTTTCTCCATTTTAGGACTATATTTTCAACTTTCATCCTTTTTTTGCTCACTAATTCAATTTGAAACACCGCTTTTCTTAACCATACTTTTTTTTCTTTCAAATTTCTTCATACATCCAATTTGGGGCCTCGCACTAGCAATGTGTTTCTTAGCTACCAAAACACACACACATATATAGAAGCATAATTTTTGCCCGGTATATCATCATTTCCCTAATCAGCCAGTATGACATTGCTGTACCAATCATTGTGTGTTTGAGATATTAAGTGCCCAATCAAAGGTTGCCATGTGTAACGTGGTTGTTGGAAATGTTCAGACGTGGGCAATCTGCCTGACCTAGACACCCACTATAAATTGCTTGTGATGCTAGAGGTGTGGCCGTCATATGCAAAACCCTATCGTCCTTCAGAAAGCTTGGCTTGATTATTTCGCTGCCGTTCTCTTGTTTGGTCTTGTGATCTGCAGAGAAATGAAGGAAAATCAAAGCATCCTTCTCTTCTCAAATAGGAAGAGACTCAAACACAAACATGTTTTGGTTCAGATTATGAATCACAGACATTACATCGAATCGTTGATTTACCAGACAATGTAACTTGAAGGGAGCAAAAGACTTCTCTTGCCCAGCAACGATTGAACAAGGTACGACTCCATACTTATATATGTTTATTTGTATTGTAAGATTTTGTGATGAGCATGATTATTCTACACTTGCATGTTGAGACTGTGGTCTGATAATTCTGTTGTGTGCAGATTTTGCGACCCGGTGACCAGAGATCATGCTGTCTTCATGTATGTGTTTGCCTGGTGCCGTTACTTTTTCCTTATGTTTATTTAATTTGCCTTTAACATACATATGTTGTTTGGATATGGATCTGCTTTATATATGAGTAGGCAGATCCATCCATAGCTGGCCTCCAGTTTGCATTTTTTGTTTTGTTACAATTAATTTTGCATCTTGTATAAAGGCCTAAGATTGATCTTTTCTTGTCTCCCCTCCACAGTTTGCTGGTCACGTTTGGATCGTCAAGTTGTGCGGCAGGGAAGTATTCAACTCAAGCACATCTAGAGGTTTCGATGTCAAAAAACCTGTGGTTGTGCCATCTAAAAGATCATCAGAACCTGTAGTTGTGCCATCTAAATATGATTCTCACGAAATACAGATGTGATGTTGTCGAATCAATGATTTACCAGATGCTTATAACTTTTGTAATTTGTAAACATATCAATTTGTTTAGTCATGTTGTGAGTATTTATTTGAATCACATGTATTAGTTCTTTATCTATTTATATCAAGCAAAAGACAAAGAATGATGAAACATTCAAAATACCAGAAAATGCCCTTGGTTAATTCAAACATTAAGAATTAAAATTATTAATTAAATTAGAATAATATGGTAAATTCACACTTTTTCATATTAAAAAAATTAATATTAAAAGAAAAATAAGATAATGAATCCTATTTTTATGGAACACAACTACCTATTATCTTTTTTAATTCTAAAATAAATTTAATTTAAAAAAAAATTCCTCTCGCAGGCGCAAAAGCGCGTGCGGAGAGGCTAGTTAACTATAATATTCATGAATCAATTACGAATCAAGAGCAAAAGGAGTCTATCCAAAGTGCACTATACATGTTTTGTATATAGGTGCCAAGCAAAATCGCTAAAACCGCAGCTTTTTTTTTCCTTGTGGGCTTTAATTGGCTCTGCAATGCATGAGAAGCTATATTTATAATGCAGGAAAACATCGATATTTCTGCTTGGTAACATTTTCAAAGAATGTTTTCTGAGAATATTTGCTAAGAGTGAAAATAAGAAAACGAATTTGCATTTTCAAGATTCGAAAATGTGTCTGGTAGATTAATTGGAAAACATTTTTAGAAAATAAAATAGTGGAAATGTGTCTGTTAGAACAATTTGATAATAACAAAAACAAAGAATCTATAACTTTAATTAAAATGCATTATGTTTTTTTAATACGACATTATGTAATCAATATGTGAGTTTCAAAAAAAAAGAAGAAGTATGTATATTATTTTTCAAAAGTATTTTTTAATCATGTAAAAGAATATCATTTTAAAAATAGAATAAAATTCGAAAGTATAAAACTATAATTATATCGCTCATGCCGATGCACCCTCTCTCTGTCTCTCTCTCACTGCAACCTCACCTTCCAATAGCTTCCCAACTTCTTTTCCTTTTTTTGGATTGAAAATTGATTCGGCAATTAGTTGTTCAATAATGGTGTTTCAATTCAATTGCATAGAGATTATGTTGGGTTTGATTGAGTTGCGGTGATGTCAATCTAGTTCGATGGGGTGGTGGTGATTTTGATTGGGTGATGGTGGTGGTTCAATGTTGGCAACGTTTGACGATGGTTTTGGTTAGATGGGGAGAGAAGATTGAGCGAAAGAAGCAGCGTGTTTTCGGTGTTTGTTTCCTATGAGAATGAAAACAGCTTTTTTCTGTTTTCTACAAGTACACATGAAATTGTTCTTATTTTCTTAAAACGTTCTCCATGTTTTCTATTTTTGCCCGAATAGGTTTTTTGTTTGTTTTTATTCTCTCAAAATGAAAATGGGCTCTCAAAACTTAAACGAATGGGGCCTTAGGTTTTCCACTAAAAGATAATTAAAAGAATTAGTGGTGCCTAAATTTTTTTTGAGCTCATATCAAATCCTTGATTTACAAAAATAACTGTTGTTTCACGCCCACAATAGATTATTCTTTCCCTCTCTCATGTGGAGTTTAAGGGGCACATCATCTTGTAAGAAATATCTTACATATAAAAGGAAATAAAATTCACACCTAAAAGTGAAGTAAAATTGTGAATTGTAAATTGCAATCTGGGAAATAAAACACATTCCCGTGCTAGAGCGTGGTGGCGTGTAAAAGGGGTAATGAAAGAGTACATAGTATGCCCTATAAAAATGATGCATGCACAGTTTTATACTTTATTTATACTTGCATAGCAAGTAAGACAATGATATGTATTTGTTGTTTTTTTGAACTATCGTACATTTATTTTAATTATTATCGCTAACTCTATTAACTATCAGGCCCTGTTTGGTCCATGGAATGAAATTGAGAAGAAATCATTTTCCATGTCATTCCCCAAAGAATGGGAATTGAAGATTCTTTTCCCACGTTTGGTAATGCTGGGAAAGAAACCGGAAAATATCATTTTATTTCATTTCTCATGTTTGTTTTGAGTATGAATGGAAAACAAAGTTTGTATAAATTTTCAATTATACCCATATTAAATCAAATAAAAAAGAATGCAGTTAATGATATATTGTAATTCTAAATTGTTAATGGGGATAAAATGGTCATAAAAATATGTATTTAATGTAAGCTCATTTTCCCAAACTTTCTCATGAGGAGGGAAAACAAAACCCAAGTTGGGAGGATGAATTCACTTTCTCCCATACTTTCCCATAAGCCTCAAAATGATAAATTTTTATTATAATTATAGATTTACCAATATTTCAACTTCCCTTTTTGAGTTACACCGCTATTTTTAAATATTTTAAAGGATCATTTCTCATGCATCCTTAGCAAAGGGATAATTCTTGCCAATTTAAACACACAAATAAAAGCATAATTCTTGCCAATTTCCAAGTCAGCAAGTATGACAAGGTTATATGACCTATGGTAACCAATCATTGTGTGTTTTGGGACATGAATTGACCAATCAAAGGCTGCCATGTGTAATGTAGTTGGTGGCAATTAATGTTCACCCGTGGCAAATCTGACCTGACCTAGCGACCACTATAAATTGGTTATGATGGTAGAGGTGGCCGTCATGCAAGACCTCACAGAGAGCATCGTTCTTTCCAAAGCTGGTATTGGATTCGGGTTCTCGTGTATTTGGCCTTGTTCTGAAGAGAAATGAAGGCAAAACGAAGCATCCTTCATTTCTCAAACAGAAAGAGACTCAAGCACAAACATGTTTATGGTTCTGCTTATGAATCAGAAACTTTACATCGAATCAATGATTTACCAGACATTGGATCTTTATCTTGACAGCTATTTGACTCCAGAAAGATGCGACAGGAAATCTATTCCTCAATCTGAAGATGGATTTCCTTCCCTGTGGAAAGATGGCACTTGCAAACTAGATGAGTTTATAAGGAAAAATGCGGAAGCCATCTATGCTGCAAATCTGAACCTTCTTGCATTTTCTGGGCAAAAACTACGTGGTGAACGGCTGGTCTTGATGGTTTGGAAATCACCAGTATGTAGTTGGGCGGCCTAAAAGATGATGTGTTGGTGTACTTTGTAATTTTAGATTTATCAGATTGATCAAATGTATGATTTACCAGATGGTTGTAATTAGATTGGTTGAGCTCATGTGTAAGTATATATATTATACAGATTTATTACAGTTCACAATTTCCCTCATGGATATTATATATTAATATACAAAGAAGTTTATCTAAAAGATTACAATCTTTCTCTTAAAAAAAGGGATCACAATCTAATTTCTTATATTTTATATGCTCCTCCAAAGCATACTCGCAATAACCACAAAGTGCTCGTTTGAAACTACTTTTTTAGGGAGCGCTTCTGCTCATAAGAGCTTTTAGTAAAAGTGCTTTTATTATAAATATGTTCAAATTTTCTTAAGAAATAGAAGTGCTTCTTGGAAAAACATTTTGGAGTGCTTGGCAAGTGTTTCTCCAAAAAGCGCTTCTATGGACTACAAGCACTTCTAAACTTTTTTGCCAAACGTTATCAGAAGCGCTTTTAACCCTTCCGAAAGGACCCCCAAATGGTCCTTTGTAATTTGTTCAAGAGCCAGATATAGCTTTTTTTTTCTCGATCCGAAGGCATTCGTGTCAACACTATACAATAAATAGGCATCTAGAGAGGGCTATTGTCCTCATCGTCCTGCACAAAAATCCTAACTAGTTCCTATGTGTAGCTTATTTACTAAAATTTATGTTTCTTGTAAAAAAAAAGATGACGAATTTATGAGTTAAAGTATTGTCATAAATACTTTTCATATAGAAGGAAATAAAATTTGTATATAAAAGTTAAGCGAAATTGCAATTTAGGAAATAAAACACACCCTCGCGATAAAGCGTGGTGTTGTGCAAAGAGGGGTAATGAACGACGTATAGCGATATGTACTTGCTACCTTTTCAAACAATCGTACAAATTATTGTAATTATTTTCGCCAACTTTATCAAAACAATAACTCTTATTTTTAAAAATATTTTAGACTTACCAATAATTTAACTTTCATATTTGATTACAGCGATATTTCTTCTTACATCCTTAGCAAAGGGGATGCCCCACTTGAACCTCTCTATAAAACACAAAATAAAAGCATAATTCTTACTAATTTTCCTAGTCAGCAAGTATGACATGGTTATATGACCTCTGACCAATCATTGTGTGTTTTGAGACCTGAAGTGACCAATCAAAGGCTTTCAGGTGTAATTTAATGTTCGGCCGTGGGAAATCTAGCCTGACCTAGACACCACTATAAATTTGGTTATGATGGCAGTGGTGGCCGTCATGCAAGCCCTCACAGAGAGCATCGTTCTTTCCAAAGCTTATATTGGGTTGGGGTTCTCGTGTGTTTTGTTGACGCTCAAAAATGGTTCGGCACTTTTGAGGCCAACTTAGTGATGAGGTGTGATGGATGAGGGGTGAAGGTGAGGACCTTCACCAAGTGTGTGAGGATTGGAGCAAGCGATAAACATACAGAAGATAAGTTATACGTGGTTCACCCTTAATGAATGGGCTACGTCCACGGAGAAGTATATTCTCATTATTATAATATTGTGTATTTACATTTGTACATGGGGTTGGACCCAAATATAAAAGTAAGAAAGGAGAAGGCCATGACTAAATATCAAGCCAGCCCAAGGGGATCCTTTTCCAAGGGGAGAGTGGTCTCCTTTTATAGGTGAGGGGGAGCCTTATTGTGTGTTTTGAGACCTGAAGTGACCAATCAAAGGCTTTCAGGTGTAATTTAATGTTCGGCCGTGGGAAATCTAGCCTGACCTAGACACCACTATAAATTTGGTTATGATGGCAGTGGTGGCCGTCATGCAAGCCCTCACAGAGAGCATCGTTCTTTCCAAAGCTTATATTGGGTTGGGGTTCTCGTGTGTTTTGTTGACGCTCAAAAATGGTTCGGCACTTTTGAGGCCAACTTAGTGATGAGGTGTGATGGATGAGGGGTGAAGGTGAGGACCTTCACCAAGTGTGTGAGGATTGGAGCAAGCGATAAACATACAGAAGATAAGTTATACGTGGTTCACCCTTAATGAATGGGCTACGTCCACGGAGAAGTATATTCTCATTATTATAATATTGTGTATTTACATTTGTACATGGGGTTGGACCCAAATATAAAAGTAAGAAAGGAGAAGGCCATGACTAAATATCAAGCCAGCCCAAGGGGATCCTTTTCCAAGGGGAGAGTGGTCTCCTTTTATAGGTGAGGGGGAGCCTTCACTTCTTGTAATATTCCAATGTGGGACTCTTTGCTTTGCCTAGAGTTGCTTCTAGTTGTTTGGTCAAATATGGTATAAACAGAAGTCCCCCAAGTTCTCAAGCAAGGAGGTACTCCTTGGTTGAGGACTTGCAATTTTTAGTGCATTGACCGAGCAACACCTTAGTCTTCTTCCAAGTAGTGTAGTGTCGATGGTGCCGAATGATGACGGGGTGCCGAAGGCGTCGCTCTCGTCGGATGATGGCAGGGTGCTGAAGGTGATGACGGGGTGCCGAAGGCATCGCTCTCGTCGGATGATGACAGGGTGCCGAAGGCATCGCCCTCGTCGGATGATGGCAGGGTGCCGAAGGTGATGACGGGGTGCGAAGGCATCGCTCTCGTCGGATGATGACAGGGTGCCGAAGGCATCTCTCTTGTCAAATGATGACAGGGTGCCGAAGGCATCGCTTGTCAAATGATGACGGGGTGCCGAAGGCATCGCTCTCGTCTAATAATGATAGGGTGCCGAAGGCAACGCTTTGTCAGGTGATGACGGGATGCCGAAGGCATCACTCTCGTCTAATGATGACAGGGTGCCGAAGGCATCGCTATGTCAATGATGACGGGTGCCGAAGGCATCGCCCTCGTCGGATGATGGCAGGGTGCTGAAGGTGATGACGGGGTGCCGAAGGCATCGCTCTCGTCGGATGATGACAGGGTGCCGAAGGCATCTCTCTTGTCAAATGATGACAGGGTGCCGAAGGCATCGCTTGTCAAATGATGACGGGGTGCCCAAGGCATCGCTCTTGTCTAATAATGATAGGGTGCCGAAGGCAACGCTTTGTCAGGTGATGACGGGATGCCGAAGGCATCGCTCTCGTCTAATGATGACAAGGTGCCGAAGGCATCGCTATGTCAATGATGACGGGTGCCGAAGGCATCGCCCTCGTCGGATGATGGCAGGGTGCCGAAGGTGATGACGGGGTGCCGAAGGCATCGCTCTCGTCGGATGATGATAGGGTGCCGAAGGCATCTCTCTTGTCAAATGATGACAGGGTGCCGAAGGCATCGCTTGTCAAATGATGACGGGGTGCCGAAGGCATCGCTCTCGTCTAATAATGATAGGGTGCCGAAGGCAACGCTTTGTCAGGTGATGACGGGATGCCGAAGGCATCGCTCTCGTCGGATGATGACAGGGTGCCGAAGGCATCTCTCTTGTCAAACGATGACGGGGTGCCGAATGCATCGCTCTCGTCGGATGATGGCAGGGTGCCGAAGGTGATGACGGGGTGCCGAAGGCATCGCTCTCGTCTAATGATGACAGGGTGCCAAAGGCATCGCTATGTCAATGATGACGGGGTGCCGAAGGCATCGCTCTCGTCGGATGATGGCGGGGTGCCGAAGGTGATGACGGGATGCCGAAGGCATCGCTCTCGTCGGATGATGATAGGGTGCCGAAGGCATCTCTCTTGTCAAATGATGACAGGGTGCCGAAGGCATCGCTTGTCAAATGATGACGGGGTGCCGAAGGCATCGCTCTCGTCGGATGATGACAGGGTGCCGAAGGCATCTCTCTTGTCAAATGATGATAGGGTGCCGAAGACATCGCTTGTCAAATGATGACGGGGTGCCGAAGGCATCGCTCTCGTCGGATGATGACAGGGTGCCGAAGGCATCTCTCTTGTCAAATGATGACAGGGTGCCGAAGACATCGCTTGTCAAATGATGACGGGGGTGCCGAAGGCATCGCTCTCGTCGGATGATGGCAGGGTGCCGCTTGCGCCTAATGATGGTGGGGTGCCGAAGGCATCGCTCGCGCCTAATCACTTGAAGCTGTGAGAAGACTTCTCTGCCTCTGCCGCTTCGTATTTTGGGTGGCCATTCAAAGGCAGCACTCAAATTACCTTTCGGTATAAATTGAGTAAGCCACTATCCATATAGATCGCATGCACCTCTTAGTGTGATTTAAGTGGGTGCCGAACGGTAGCTCTTGGTCTTTGAGCTTTTGTATGGCAGCTAGGTGCCGTTAGAGATTTTTGGCTTGTATTGTTGCTCGGCGAGGCTACTTTGACCCTTCCCCACGAAGGTAGACATGGATGTTTCACCGGTGGCATGTTGTCAATAATACCTTCCGAGCCGAATCAATATTAATAGCTTTGCCGAACGGTAAGGCATCCCCAACAAGCTTTGGGTGTCCTGAGAGGTTGTGGCAGATTTGGGTCTGCGATTTGCCATTCGGACAGACCACATATTCGAGAGCTTCTAACCAGCATGGTGGTGCAACGGAGCTTCATGGTTGCTTTGAGCATTGGTCTTGGTGCCGAACGGTAATGTCGTTTGGAACATTTGGATGGCTTGAAAGATTTTGGTAGAGAATAGAGCCAGTGCCGAATGGTAATTGATTTGCTAGCTACGAACATGGGCCTTCATCCTTGACTTGGTTTTTTGGGTGCCGTTTGGTTCCCTTTGAAAGATTTCCCAAATTTTGAGAGGTATGCCAGTGGCATTCCAAAGTGATGAGTGTAGGATGACAAAAAAAGGTGCGGTAGCAGTCTGAATCTTTCAAACGACAGATAAAAGGGCAAGTCCCCCTTTGTGGGTCGGTGGGGAATAGCTACCGAACGGTAGTCATACAGTTTTGCCTTTGTTCCCTTTTATTTGCCGATAATTCACATTCCAGTGGGCTTTGAATTTGAGTCTTCTGTAAGACTTTTACAGAGTGGATATCTTCAGCATATTGAATTCCATTTTCTGGTTCCGTAAGTCCCAGCGTTCGGCAAGTGGTGAGCTCGAGAGGTTTTGGCGAAGTGAGCTAGCTCATCCTTGTCCTACCGAACGGTAGGTGCATGGGTGTCCATAGAAAATTCTTGAATTTCTTGATGGGGTGTGTTGCACGGTGACCCACATATGTCGTTTCAATATTGCCTTACGGATCGGTAAGGGCCATGCTAACGAGATTCTGACAAGGGAAGCTGAAAATGGATGAGTTTCTACGGATTCTCAAGGCTTCGGCATTTTGACTTTGGAAGGAGCAATCTCGTGAGTCTGCTGCCTTTCCAGCAGCTCTTGCCATTCGGTGAGGCAAGGATATTTCGATTGTGGGTCCCCATTGTAGATTCGGTAAGATCTCCCTAGGAAGAAGGTTGTGGCGCCAGCACAGCTTCGGCTTCAGCACGTCATGTACCTTCGTGAGTGTTCTTGCTTTGGTAATTCAGCTCCGTGTGACCATGGCGTCGGCAAGGTGACCGGATCTGGTTTCTTTCTTGCGCCTCCTCCGTGTCCTTTGCACAGCCCTTGCCATTCGGCAAGGGTGTTTTGGTGAAATTTTTGAGGCGGAGATGCCGTAGTTGGCTTGCCGATAGTTTTCAGTCGACGAGAGGTGCCGATGGGCATGTCACTGGGTTGCTGAAGCGTAATATTTTTTTGATGGGGATGAACCCATTCTTTTGGGTGTCTAGATCAATTCGGTGGCTGGGTACGGTGTCGATGGCCACTTTGTAGTTTTCCATCCCGTGTTTTGAACTTGCCATACTGTTTTGAGTGGCTTCCATCAGATGATGGTTGAACATTTGATATGGGTGGGTGCCGTTCGGCATGTCCATTCAGATGGCTCCACCCTTTCCTATAACAAATAGGACAAAAATAGTATTAAAATGGGAAGATTTGAAGATGTGGCTAGGCCACCGATTGATCCCATGCTTATGTCAGCCACTTGAATAATATATAGAAACACTGAATTGCATGCTTATAAATATATTAAAATATAAGATAAGATACGTAAATGTGTTTCATCTAATATTGGAAGTATTAGATAATTTGTAAAAATAATGGGTATGCCACTTATTTGATGGAGGATTCGGCAAGAGTGGTGTCTTCGGCATCTTGGTGCCTTGTGACTCAAAGTTGCCTCACTATGGGTATTGTCGAATGACAATTAGATAATGTTGATTATAAGGGTGCCAAACTTTCTCTTCAAAGGGGGTGCCGAACGGCACTTTGAATTGAGATGGTGGTTTGGTCATGCAAGCCATGCAAAATGGTATCCACATTCTGATTGGTTTTTTCTTGAAATATCATCTTTTGCAATGTTGCCTTAGCATTCATGGTTGTTCCAGCATGAGATTGCTGTTCGGCAAGTTAGGAGATGCTGATTGCAGGGGTGCCGAAGGTCTCTGCCGAAGGGCACTGCCGAAGGGCACTGAAGAAGGGGAGAATGACAGAAGCTTTTTGTGTCTATTCCCACAGACGGCGCCAAACTGTTGACGCTAAAAAATGGTTCGGCACTTTTGAGGCCAACTTAGTGATGAGGTGTGATGGATGAGGGGTGAAGGTGAGGACCTTCACCAAGTGTGTGAGGATTGGAGCAAGCGATAAACATACAGAAGATAAGTTATATGTGGTTCACCCTTAATGAATGGGCTACGTCCACGGAGAAGTATATTCTCATTATTATAATATTGTGTATTTACATTTGTACATGGGGTTGGACCCAAATATAAAAGTAAGAAAGGAGAAGGCCATGACTAAATATCAAGCCAGCCCAAGGGGATCCTTTTCCAAGGGGAGAGTGGTCTCCTTTTATAGGTGAGGGGGAGCCTTCACTTCTTGTAATATTCCAATGTGGGACTCTTTGCTTTGCCTAGAGTTGCTTCTAGTTGCTTGGTCAAATATGGTATAAACATGTTTGGCCTTGATCTGAAGAGAAATGAAGGAAGAACACAAAAATGTTTATGGTTCAAATTATGAATCAGAAAATTTACATTGAATCGATGATTTACCAGACAGTGTAATAGGCTGGAAAAGAGAATTCTCTATGTTTGCGAGTAAGGGATTGATCAGGCAAGATTCTATAATCATATATGTTTATCTGTCTTGATGAGAAAATGATTCTACACTATTGGATGTTGGACTGAAGTCTAATTGTGGATATGATTTGTGTGTGCAGGTTTTGCAACCGAGTGCTACTATTTCCACCCCTAATCCTATTTTCTCACCCATCTTATCTTCCCACCCACCATGTACATTTGAAAAAACACAATTTTTTCTTTACCCATATCATTATTCCTAAAATACACTATAATTATTTATTATTCAAGTCCTACAAATTCCCGAATGAACAACTTGAATTTTACTATACCATCAAAAACACCAAAAATGAAACCATCTGGCCATCAACGTCAGATATATTTGCCTCAAAATAATCCTCCATCGAAGGCCACCCTTGAAACTGGAAAATTCATAGTTGAACCTACGACTCCCAGTGAGAAAGCTAACAGAAAAAACACAAACAATTATCACCACATTCTGGATTGCATTTGCTGCACAAAGACAACAAAAACAAACCAACCATCTTCATCAAGTTGTACAAAGATTAAAACCCACAAACTAAATCAACCACAAGAACACTGTGCAAACTGAAGTTCCACTTCAAAGTTCAAAAACAGGCAAGCATATACAGAGAGAGAGAGAGGAGAGAGAGAGAGAGAGAGAAAGAGAGAGAGAGAGAGGAGAGAGAGAGAGAGAGAGAGAGAGAGAGAGGTAGGAAGAGACTGGGAGAATGCTCAGAGAGGGAGAGAGTGAGGACGAGAGTGTGGAGAGGGAGAAGGGGCATTTGTCCTTATAAGTCATTTTACAAATGGATAAATTTGTCTTTAAAATTTTGAAAATAAAGTGGGTGAGGAAATAGCACAGGTGGGTGGAAATAGTAGCACTCTTTGCAACCCAATGAGGAGTGCAACAATGGATATCAAGGGCTGGATCTTTCTCTTAACAGCTATTTGGCTGCAGAAAGATGTGACAGGAAATCTATTCTTCAATCTGAAGATGGATTTCCTTCCTGGTGGAAATATGGCACTTGCAAACTAGATGAGTTTATGAGGAAAAATGTAGAAGCCATCTATGCTCCACATCTGAACAAACCTTCTAAATCCGTGTCAAATTTATTTTCAGGGCAAGAACTACATGTTGAACTTAGTAGTAAATTTTACACTTTTACCACGCCGATATTGAATGAGAAGAAAAACTACATCTCCCATATTGAACTTTTTGATGGTATGAGCACTGGCGAATCAGTTAAGGAGTAAGGAGGTGCAGCTGCACCTCCCCTCGCCAGAAAAACCATTGTAGGTGTTTGAAATTGCCCATTTGCTCAGCTGGTGGTGGTGTACAGATTACCTTATTTCCATCTTCAACATTTAAGTAAATGTCTTTGTCTTTTTACTTTCATTTATTTTTATATTACTCCATTTACTTAAGTTTACAATGTAAATAAGAAAGTACCCCCCATTTGGATTCAAATAAAAAAACTAGAAAATCAAATTCCCCCCAGATCAAAATTTGAAAAATCGATTTTAGTTCAAAATACGATTTAGGCTAAAAATGATAGCTCATTAAGTCAATATATACTTCATAATAAAATCTCATAAAATCAAGTTTTCTTATTTGATGTGTAAGGAATAAAAGCCGCTAAAAATTATCTTGAGAAAATGATTATTCCGAAAAAACCATTTTTCATGCTTAGTGAATATTTTTACATAGAACAATTTTTCATGTATGATATGAATGCATGAAGGGACCTAAGGTCAATCTAGGTAAAAAGCCTTAAATGTTCAATCCACAAAGAGTTTTTAGCCTTTCAAAATTGCACCTCCACTAAAAATTCATGGATCCGCCAGTGGGTATGAGCTATTCTATTCTTATGTTTTTTTTCCTTAGTTTTTTTCTTGTTTTTTTGCTGTGAATCCATTGTGAAAAAAGAGGAACCTTCTGTGTTGTATTGATTGTTTTCTTTTAGTTGTTCGCTAACAAATTAAACCATTTTCCTCCAATTTTTATATCAGGATTCATCATCTCTTCATGTAAGAGTTGGATGATGAGGTAGCTGTGGAAGCAACAGCTCTGAAAGGCTGGTCTTGATGGTTTGGAAATCACCAGAGATGTAGTACAATACGGAATGATTTTTTAAAATTTATATATTACAGTTCACAATTTCCCTCAGGCCGGTCCATTGATTTTGGAGGCCTTGTGCAAATATGGATGTCAAGGCCCTATATATACAAGTAGGTAAAAAAAATCCATATGGAAACAAAAATTTCTAACACGGTAAGAACACATTCAGAAAGAGCTTTCCAGAAAAATTTCTTTAGTCACCCTTCCAAATCACAGAGTTGATAAATTGATTTTCCAATTTCAATGCTTGGTGAATTCTCATGTGAATAAGGGAGGGAGAAAAGAACTGTGATTTTGGGGAAAGGGCTAAAGCTTGGGTTTTTACAATCCAAAATTTGATGAAAGAGGGTGGTACACTGGTACTGAAGAGAAATGGCTTTATTTTGATGGAGGAGAGTGAGAAAGACTTACTCAAAGATAAAAGAATATTAGAATGGTTTTGTAGCTTGAGAGTTGGGAAGAGAAAAACACATGTTTCAAACCATAATAAATAAATAAAAAGAAGAGTAGCAACGTGAGAGTTGGGAAGAGGAAAATGAATTAAATTAGGGCCTTTACTCTCTAAGTCGTAGAATTTGTTGATAATTAATATTCAATTCAATTTTTGTTTTGGTGCCTTGCACGTGGTGTTATGGGGTGATATTTAATATTTCATTTTTACTTTCATGTTTTAGTTAATTTAATGGGTTGACTTAGAAAAATTGGGAGGCCCCTAAATTTTGGGGGCCTTATGCGGTCGCACACCCCATGGGCCGCCTTTGCCTCAGAGATACTCTTCCCCAAACCAAAATGAAAAGAATCATTTATATATATATATATATATAAATCTACAAGCAGTTTATCTAAAGGATTACAATCTAATTTCTTATAGTTCGTCTCAACAGTATACAATAAATATGCCGCTTATTTACTAAAAGATATGTTTCTCATAAATAAAGATGAATTTAATGATTAAAGTATTGTCATAAATATTTTTCATATTTTTTTTTTTTTTTTTGTTTGTATATGTATAAAGCAAAAGGCAGAGAATGGTGAAACATTCAAAATACCATAAAATGTCATTGGTTAATTCAAACATTAAGAATTGAAATTATTAATTAAATAAGGATAATATGGTAAATTCACATTTTTCAAATTAAAAAAATTAAAATGAAAAACAAAATCAGATAATAGGTCCTACTTTTGTGGAACATAACTATCAATGTTATCTTTTCTTAATTCTAAAAATAAAATAAAAGAGAAAAAAGAAAACCAATTGGCACATGCTGGGCTAGTATAAAAGTTAAGCGAAATTGTGACCTTGGAAATAAAATACATTCTCATGCTAGAGCGCGATGACGTGCAGGAGGGGTAATGAATGAGTACGTATAGCACGTTTTGTGAAAATGATACATGCAATCTATACTTAGAGCAAGTGCAACGCGTAGGCCTTGTCAGGGCAACAGGCCCCCGCCAGCCCAAATTCGACTCTAGCGCAACGAAACCAGCCCGTGCAAGCATTAGCTCAGGCAAATCCTGCCTAGGCTCAAGCCCGAAGGTGCTAACGTCGGCGGTGGAGTCGCGCTTTCTGGACACTGCGATGATTTTTTTTCCAGAAATCCGATGGCCTTGCAAAAAAATTCGAAAATAATTCAAATTTTTTTATTAAAAAATACCCAAAAATTCTGAATTTTTTCCCTCTAAATACCTAAAAATTTTATTCACTTTCCACATCAAATCTTTATACAAACTCTTCTCATTCTAATATTTTTCACTTTCCACTTACATCATTCACTTTCCACATACTATAAATTGGTTATGATGGCAGAGGCGGCCTTATTCTGCAAAGACCTCAAAGCGATGATTGTTCTTCAAAGAAATGAAGGATAATTATAGCATCCTTTGGTTTTGAAATAGGAAGAGACCAATGGTGGACCCAGGAATTTTTATAGGACTATGGCATATTTTTATTTTTATTTTTATAAGAGATATATTATATGCCTTTTTTCTCTTGAAACAAAAATGTAAATAAAATTTTATAAATCAAACAAGGCCACATTACGAGCAAATATAACACAAAGAAGTACAAAATATAAATAAATACAAAATCAAACACATTGCTCAACTACTTGAGATTCGAGTTAAGTAAGTTCATCAGGAATTTAAGTATCAACATTATATGCAGAAGGGTGTATCCTTATTATCGTTACCTAAATGTGATTTTTGGGTTTCAATATACACATAAGATAAACAAATAAAAAAAAAAAAATAATTAGAGTATTGTTCCGTACAATTTTTAAAAAAAGTATTTTTATATATATGTCTTTTATGGAAGGAAAAGAAATCTCTTTGTAAAAGTTAAGCAAAATTGCATACGAGAAATTGAAGTCTAGAAAATAAACTCATTCCCGCACTAGAGCACGTTCGAGTGTAAGAGGGATAATGAAAAAGTACATATAGCGTGTTTTATAAAAGTGATGCATGCATGCACTTTGTCCATACGTGTACATGAAATTAGATATTTACTAACTGTCTTTTATGCTGTAATTGTAATGATAAACTTTATTAAATATCGAAACAATGTCATTTTTCTCCATTTTAGGACTATATTTCAAATTCCATCCTTTTTTTGCTCACTAATTCAATTTGAAACACCGCTTTTCTTAACCATACTTTTTTTCTTTCAAATTTCTTCATACATCCAATTTGGGGCCTCGCACTAGCAATGTGTTTCTTAGCTACCAAAACACACACACATATATAGAAGCATAATTTTTGCCCTGTATGTCATCATTTCCCTAATCAGCCAGTATGACATTGCTGTACCAATCATTGTGTGTTTGAGACATTAAGTGCCCAATCAAAGGTTGCCATGTGTAACGTGGTTGTTGGAAATGTTCAGACGTGGGCAATCTGCCTGACCTAGACACCCACTATAAATTGCTTGTGATGCAAGAGGTGGCCGTCATATGCAAAACCCTATCGTCCTTCAGAAAGCTTGGCTTGATTATTTCGCTGCCGTTCTCTTGTTTGATCTTGTGATCTGCAGAGAAATGAAGGAAAATCAAAGCATCCTTCTCTTCTCAGATAGGAAGAGACTCAAACACAAACATGTTTTGGTTCAGATTATGAATCACAGACATTACATCGAATCCTTGATTTACCAGACAATGTAACTTGAAGGGAGCAAAATACTTCTCTTGCCCGGCAACGATTGAACAAGGTACGACTCCGTACTTATATATGTTTATTTGTATTGTAAGATTTTGTGATGAGCATGATTATTCTACACTTTCATGTATGTGTTTGCCTGGTGCCGTTACTCTTTCCTTATATTTATTTAATTTGCCTTTAACATACATATGTTGTTTGGATATGGATCTGCTTTATATATGAGTAGGCAGATCCATCCATGGCTGGCTTCCAGTTTGTATTTTTTGTTTTGTTACAATTAATTTTGCATCTTGTATAAAGGCCTAAGATTGATCTTTTCTTGTCTCCCCTCCACAGTTTGCTGGTCACGTTTGGCTCGTCAAGTTGTGCGGCAGGGAAGTATTCAACTCAAGCACATCTAGAGGTTTCGATGTCAAAAAACCTGTAGTTGTGCCATCTAAAAGATCATCAGAACCTGTAGAGGTGATGTTGTCGAATCAATGATTTACCAGATGCTTATAACTTTTGTAATTTGTAAACATATCAATTTATTTCGCTAGGCTCGGTCATGTTGCGAGTATTCATTTGAATCACATGTATTAGTTCTTTATTAACTATAATATTCATGAATCAATTACGAATCAAGAGCAAAAGGAGTCTATCCAAAGTGCACTATACATGTTTTGTATATAGGTGCCAAGCAAAATCGCTATAAACCACAGTTTTTTTTTACCTTTGTGATTTTGCCAAACCCACAACTGATAGAAATTGTTGTCGTTTTTTGA